CATTAAATAATAAAGAATATATATCATTAAAATATTAAAATATTTATATCATTGAAACATATAAATATTTATATTCAAATATAACAATATTCATATCATTTAAACATAAAATTATTCATATTATACAAAAAATCCAAAATTCAAATGAGTAAAAATGATCAAACCAAGACAAGAATTAAAAATTTCAAAAGGTGTCTTTTGACACCATCAGCAGAAATAGTGTTAAACTCCATCAATAATGCCAACGTCTCTGTCAACATCTCCTGCACTGTACACGTCACTCCTACTCGTGCTGACCTACCTCACGCCGCTATTGGCACATCATCATAATCCAGAGAAATGTTTGACCGTTAGCAATTTGAAAATAAAGCCAAAATTGCGGTTCTGTACTTTTGGTTTTCTAATTATATTTTCATCGTGAATTTAGTCTTTATATTTTCTGGTAACTGTTGTCAAACTGTTTTTATAATAATTGAAGATAAAATTGATTGTATAATAATTAATGGACTATGGATTTTTAGGTAAATTTCTATTTTTTAATATTTAAATATTAAACTTAAATTAATTTGATAATTAATATTATTAGATGGAATTACTTTTTTATGAAAAAAGTTCTACATAAATTTTTGGATATTTTATATATTTTTCCAAATTGCAGATATTTTGTTTAATTTTCCACTTGCAAATTTAAAAAAACAAAAATCCACAGTCTAGTAATTAATATTTCAAACCAAGGATTCAAGTTGTTGCTTGATAATGAGTGTAAATTGTTGTTCTTTAACGTAGGTGTATAACATAATAATAAACGTTTCAAATAATTAAGAATTTTAACAATAACAGTTTACTCACTTCGTTTTGGAGAGATTTGGATCACTGGTCTTCCGCTTTTCCCGTAACTGTCGCTGGAACAAGAAGTCAGAAAAATATTTAGAAATGCAGAGATCGACGAAAAATAAATTTAAGATAAATTGTTTAAATAAAATTTAATTTACCTATGATTTATTTTTAACCCCTTGCCTTATAGCAGAGTGATTCAATGTGTTTCGACAGACAAATATTACTCAGCTCATTTGAAATCAAAGTAAATTTTAATATAAATTATGTAGCTAATGAGCTTATGTAATTAAGAAATATTTTAATGAAAATTTTTATTTTTGTGGTACTGAAGATATTATATTCAATAATTGAAGTTTATTACATAGTGTGTATATAATAAATTAATTAAATTAGTTGTATTTGGAATATTTAATAAAATTAATTTATTGGAAAAGAGGAAACATTCTATGCCCATGTTTCCTTTCAAGAATAATTGTAGATTGATTTATTAATAGTAATTATTGCTATTATTTTATTTATTCTTAATAATAATTATTATTAATAATAATTGTAGAATTCATTACAGAAGAATAATTAAAAAAACAAATAAAAATACATAATTAAAATCATAAGGCAAGGGGTTCAACAGATTCTAAAAATCATCATCTGTATGTCATTAAAAGAAACAAATAATTCAAATAAAAAATATTAATGCTCAAAGTGAAAACATAAAAACTTTAAGGTCAAAAGGGTTAACACGTTCGCGACGGATGTAAATAAATTTGTTAATTACAGTAACCAGTTATTTAAATGCTATGACGCTACAATAGTTCGTGTACCACCGGTGGTGCATGTCGTTCCATGGGAGTCAAGCATGTACCACTGGTGGTACATGCTCCATATGCGACAGATATGTATGTACCACCGGTGGTACATGCTTCATATACGACAGATAAGAATGTACCACCGGTGGTACATCACGTCGCGAACGTGTTAATACAGTTTGCAATGTGAAACGTGACCTAATTTCACCCTAGCACTGAACGTGTTAGTAAAAGTGACAGTGATAGTAAATTTGAATCCTCACCTTGTGATGTATCCGCTCCTTGTAACTTTCAGACCTGTTTATGTTTGACGTCTTTGGCTTACTGGAAATATTTTGCTGCACCCTAAGTAATCGTAATTAATTAAGCGTAAATTAATGTCTATAAATTAAACCAGCTTAACGGATCAGAGAAAGAAAAAATTTGGCAACACTATTGATGAAGATACGTATACGAGCACTGTGTTTGCGTACCATCAGGGAAATTAATTTAATCGTGACTCATTAGTGTGAAATTAATTAGTTCTGTCTAAAGGTAATAGACTATATGAGATAAATTGAATTCAATGTGGGATTGGAACTTGATATTACAATATATTGTAAATTTGATCTATATTATATTGTTATATAATTTTGTAATATGTAGTTTTGTAATATATATAATTATATAATTTTATAATCTGTAATTTTTTAATATAATCATATAATTATATAATTTTATGATAATAGGTTTTATAATTTAATTTTACAATAATAAGTTTCATAATTCAATTTTATAATAAGAAATTATATAATGATATTTTTATAATATATTTTTACATTAAGTTTAAATCAATGCTCGTACACATAATCATCGAATAGTAACGCGAAGGATCGATACCGGATCAATTTTGATCTTACACATAAATTTTAATATCTGTTAGAAATATTCAGAACCTTCACTGTCAAGGTGAAGTTAAAATTACTGTAACTGAAACTTTATTTATTACATGGTTAATCTTATTTTCTCGAATATAGTGCCAGTCAATTGCTGAGATTGTGCTGATTAAAATGAGTCCAAACACGACATAAATCGGACTAGTTTTCCGATTTCATGAAAACGAACCTTTAATTTCGTTAATTACACTAAATCGGTGAAACTAGTCCGATTCCTATCGTGTTTGGACTCATTTTAATCAGCACAATCTCAGCAATCCACTGACACTATATTTGAAGAAGTAAGATTAAATTTATTGCAATTGAAATTTTCTTCATTGCATATTTAACTTTAGCTTATCAATCATAGTATTGATGGATTGTTGAGATTTTTCTCGTTAAAATGAGTACAAACACGATGAAGATCGGACTAGTTTTACGATTTCATGGAAACGAGCCTTTAGTTTCGTTAATTACATCAATTCCGTAAAACTAGTCCGATTCCTATCGTGTTTGGGCTCATTTTAATCAGCACAATCTCAGCAATCCACTGACACTATATTCAACAAACTAAGATTAAAATGCAACTAACATTTTCTACATTGTACTTTCACAATTACATTCACAAACATCAGTAAATCTTCCTCGAATTTATACCTCCCAAAACACTGAACAAAAACATGATCAATCAATACTACAAAAATATAATTCCCTAATAGCTACTCAACCTAACCTTCACATTCAACGAAAACACATTTTTCTAATTACACGAAAACCGGTGATGAATTTTTAATGAAGTCTCTCAAAGGCAAAGGCTCAAACGAAAACTTACAATTCTCACTGTTTACTTATTCCCTCTCGATTAAACCCACATTCGCCGGGTCAGGCGAGTGCGAACGCACTCCGCGATCGTCCAATCTCGATTTTTCAAAAAGAACTTCTCGAATGAAACACATCTGTCCTGTACAGTGAGCCCGGTTTTTGTCTCGCGTGGAATCACTATTCTGCCCGGTTGTAGCCAGTTACAGAACACCTTTGTCACAGGGGTCGGTCCTCTATTCAGGCGAATTCATGCGTGCGAACGGTCGGGTGTAAAAGAATCGGCCCACTGAGTAACAGGTTAAGCTGCCGACCCATAGATGACACTTCGTATTCCAATTCATATAACCTATATTTAAACGTGCAGTTTGACACGAGCACTTTCGATATCTACTATTAATATAAATTGTTGATACTTTTGTGAATTGAGGGTTTATTCTGTGTTGAAGAATTGTTGATTGAGAATTTTTGGAGATCAGAGAGTGATAAATCATTAAAATTAATTAAATAAAATTAAAATTTTATGTAATAAAATTTCAGGACTTTTTCTATAGTTGAAAAATTGTTAATTAAGAATTTTTTAGATGATTTAATTTTATCTAATAGAATTTCAGGATTTATACCATTGTTAATGAAATGAAATTAAGTGGTTAAAAATTTGTGCAGATCATAGAATGTTGAATTATTAAAATTAATTAAATAAAATAAAAATGTTGTGTAATAGAATTTGAGGATTATTTCTACCGTTGAAAAATTGTTGATTGAGAATTTTTAGAGATCATAGAGAGATATATCATTAAAATTAATTAAATAAAATTTCAGGATTTTTTGTATTGTTGAAAATGATTGCTTAAGAATTTTTACAGATCATAGAGTGATAAATTATTAAAATGAATTAAATAAAATTAAATTTTTATGTAATA